ATATAAAACACCGTTTCAAATCCTAATAAAAGCTTTCAGGCCAAAGAGGTCTCCTTAATCAATAAAAAAAATAATAAAAAAATAAAAACAATATATTAGATTTAAATTTAACTAACTTTCAATTTGCCAAAGACGCTTCTATCCAAAATCTTCAAACTACAAATATACAAACTAGCATAGAATGGATCTGTGAAAATGACTCATCTATTAAGTTCAGTGCAGCAATTACTCCTTTACCTGACTCCTCTCATGCTGAGCTATCAGCAATTATCTCTCTTCTTTTTGCTATCCCAATCAATTCGATGATTACTATTCTTATAGATAGCTCAATTGCAATTAAATTCTTACTAAACTTTCCTACTTCCAAACCTATTCAAGTCAAAAACTGGAATATAATCTCTATAATTAATTCAATCAAATCTACTAAAAATATCTCTATTAATCTTATCAAAGTCAAATTATATTCAACAAATTCTCTTCATAATCAAGCCGATTTATTGGCCAAACAAGGCACTGCTAAACCCCTTTTAACAATCTCTTATATATACTTTAACCTTCCTATCTATTTCCCTTGGAACAATCATATTATTATATTCAAAGCATGCTCTTTTATCAAAAACATTATTACAATCCAAGAACTTATAAGCTGGTCGTCTCTTAAACTCTTTAACAACTATACATCAGATATAAACTAGAATTTAACTTTCAAACTACTTAACTCTCTAGAATATAACTCCTATAAATATTCCTTCTATATTAAAATCTTAACAAATAATCTTCCAACAATGCAAAATCTCAATATTCATTATCCAAATCTATATACAACAAACAAATGTTGTAAATGCCCCTAACCGAAGACTCTCTTCATATACTTCCGTTCCCCAAAAATACTGAAAGCATTCAACAATCACTTATTAATATAACTACTAATACATTCCAACAACTTCAAATTACATCTATCCAACCTATTATACTTCTTAATACTCTTTTACTATCAACAAACAACTCTTCTAATACACAATACAACTCTCTTATCTCTACAATTCTTGGAATATATTCCAAAACAATATATCAAAATACTAAAACCCTAATTAAAAAACAAAAAGAACCTATACTTATCAATCTCTCTAATAATCTTCTACACTAGTTCTACTATGATATATGGTCCAAATGCAACTCTTTTCAACACCAATAGGAAATAACCCGAAATATTATACCTAAAACCAAATGCATTAAATTCTCTACACCTCTACTCACTAACCCAACAACTCTCCATAGACTTCTTTTACAACCAATAGATCCATGCAATGCTATTGAAAAATGGTACTTATAAGGCTCTCCTCTAACAACATGCTTCTTATAATGTCATGATTAACACCTTAAGGTTTTTTCCAATCTATCCTAGCTAGAATTACTTTATTCATTTAAATTAATATTAGTATTAAATAGGGAATAAGAGATGTAATATTACATTGGGTGCTCTATAGCACAAATGTAGTTAGAAATCTTTATTATAGGAAAATTTTTTTCTTTCTAAAACTATATCCTCTTTTTATTAGCTAGTACTGAGTTGAAAGAATTTGACAGCCTGGTCAAGTGACTTATCTGCCTCCTTACCCAAGTCTTTTTAATAACAGAAGGACTATTAATCTCTAGATTAATATAGGTTTATTGTAATAAAGTTTCTACTATGATATTATATTAATAAAAAAAAAAAAAAAAAAAAAAAAAAAAACTTGAAAATCCGAGCCCGAGGAAAAGCACTAATTAAGTTTTTATTAATAAGCATATTATTTATTTATTTTTTAAACAAAAGAAATTGATGATTATATCCAAGAAAATGCAAATATAATTGAACCCAATGTTGCAAAAACAGCTCAACAGACAGAAGAACAAATAAATAAATGTTTTAAAGCTTCAAAAAAAAATCAAGTGAGGAATTTTTTTATTTATATTCAATTATTGCTTTTTAAATTTGGGTCTTGATATTTAAACATTTTTTCTGCTACAAAATTTATATTTGCGAAGAATATTCTTAAATATCCATTAAACTATAAAGAAAATAATATAATTATTAATAATTTGTATAGCAACTTAATATAGTAGATATTTATTTTTAGTAACAAAAATAAATTTTTAGGACCAATCGTATAATGCAATCGAAAAGGATCAAGGAAGATAAAATCAGGTTTTGGGCCCTAATTTTCAGGTAAATTGATAACTAGGTATTTAAATCAAAAAAGGATTATTAGGTAATATCAATATAAAAAATTTTAAGAAACAACCTACCACTAATTCGCAATTAAACACATCAGAAATAATGATTGAAGAAAGTGCAGCTCAAAGCTCTAGCTTTGATATAGAGAAAGACAATACAATTAAAGAATCAAACCTTTCAAATGATACAGGCGCATCTGTTTCTGTAAAACAAACTTTAAACTATAAAGAAAATAGTGTATGCATTAAGTATTTATTATTAACTTTAATATATATGTCACTTTTAGTATTAAAATAAAAAATTTTAGGACCCTTCTAATGCAAATGAAAAAAATCAAGAGATCTACCAAAAATAACTTAAAAATAAACTTGGGCCTATTGATCATAAAACTTTTATTAATGACTTTTAAAAAATATACAATTTATTATATATTAATATTTTTGAATGAAGATTTCAAATTTTATTAGATACTAATTCTAGTATTAATAATTATTTGCTTAATCCACTTTATACAACATGCCTTTCTTAGGCATGTACTTTTACAAGTTAAATATTTATAGTTGATATATACACAATATATTGAGTCAATAAATGCACATATTTATAAAGCTGTCTGCTAGCTCTACTATAGCTAATGTATTAAAATATTAAGCTCTTGAATGCAAAAAAAAGCTTTAAATAAGAGTTTTATAGTGTAAAATATAATATAACAACATTTTATCAACTACTTATTGTAAAAAACGTTTTTAATAGCATGAACAAATGATTAAAAAATATTTTTCTTTACAAATTGTTGAAGCAATCCATACTTAAATGTGTGAATCAGTACTGTATAGATATAAAAGGTATTTAGTAAAAAAGCTTTTAAATTAACCAAAAATCAATTAGTAAGTTATTATTTTTTTATAGAATCAGTTAACTTATCTGAATTAATTTTTATATTAGAATTAGAGCAAATACAATTTAAAGGGTTAGAATTAGAATAAATACAAATTAAGATTAAAATATAAAACTTAAGATTGGTTAGTGTTAGAATAAAATTAGAATTAATTAGATTAGAATTAGTTTTTAAGATTAGAGTTAGAGTAAAGATTAAAATTAGTTATTAGAATTTGGATTAGAGTTAGTTTTAAGATTAGGGATAGGTTTTAGACTTAAAGTTGCATATACTGTATTATACAATATATTAATAATTATATTTTATGAATTTAGGATGAGATACTATTAGTAAATAATCAAAACAATAAATATAAATATTGAAGACCATTATAATCATTAACAAACAAATTTAAAAATGTTAATAAACTTAGTTTCAAAAAAAATCAATTCAAGAAGTATAGTGAATTTTTCTTTATGTGGCTACAAGTTCATATCAACATATTATTCTTCTTAAAGATGAAATGCATTTATATACATGTTTGCTATCTGTTAGCATTACTTTAAACTAATAGTAAAAAATTCAAATGCATTATTTCATGTAATATTGATGCCAATACAATAGTTTTAAGGCAATATTTAGAATAAAGTTAAATTGGCTTCTAACAAACCTTTTATTGGAGTATCATTTAAATATTTAAACAATTCCTATAATAATATTTTACAGAGAACTTATCCAATTCCTAAATATTATAATAATGTTTAATAAGTTTATGTTTACCAACATATGCATAAAAAACTATATTATGATCAACTTATGGGACATTTCAAAAAAGTGCTGCATTATTCAATGGAAAGTAATAATTAAAATGCTTTTGATAATCTCATATTGTCTTTTATTTCAGAAAAAGAAAAAAGCTAGCAGACAAATATGCAATCAAAATGTGAAATCTTAAGAGAAAATATTAATTCAAACTGTGAAATTAAATAATCTAATGGTCGTGTACATGATGCTAACAATGTTAAAGATCTATTGAAACACATAGGTAAAGATAGACATCCAAACAAATAATTAAAAGCTTATAATGAAAAAAGTGCAGTTATACATGGGTGCCTAAATTATTTATGAAAAATCGTATTTCGGCAAACATTTCGGCATTGCTAAATTTTTTATATAAACCTCTTCAAAATAACTATATTATATGATGTATTTGATGAAAAGAGTTCAAAAAATTTTGGCAATAATTTCGGAAAATATGAAAATTAATTTCGGCATTATATAAGAATAATTTCGGCTGCCTAAATGCCGTAATTACTTTTTTATTAAGATAGGCTATTTAGGCACCCATGTATAAGTGCAGTAAGTAATCAAAAAGAAAATAAACATAAGATTGATAATAGTAATGCAAACAACACTGTTGGTGGTCGTAAAATGTGGATTGTGCCATAAAACTGGCCATTATGCTCCAAAATGTCCCATTAAAAATAGTAGTTGTTAGCATTCTTTATATACTGTACAAGCATTATTAAATAATGGCTAGTTAATAAGTAAAATTTTATGTATTACTTGTGTCAACAAATTCAAGTCTATTGATATGTTATAGTTCATTTCGCTGGGGCAATTATTGGCGTGACAAATAAATATCTGCTAAATAAATCATATACTAAATACTTATTTGTCACAACGATGATTGCTCACACCCAAGATGCTATATGAATTGTTTTGGATATACGTAGTTAGGTCAGTGATAGGTTAGTTACTGTTTTAGATAGTGATCTGCATCAATAACGTAACCACTTTCGTGGGTTTCTGTCGCGGGTTTCACCCTGTCATATTATTGATAACGAGACTTAAGAGAAAAAATGAAATTCGCCAGTAAACTTTTTTATTTATTCAAAAATCAAAAAAAATTTGTCCAAGATTATATTTGTCTACAATGCAATACCTCTCTCTAAATACATATTGGACCAATTTTTTCATCAAAATGCATTTAGAGAGGTCTGACTATATCTTAAATAAAAATGAAAAGTCTATGCTTTACAATAACCGCAACGAATAGTACCCTGCGAATTATTCGCAGTGTTATAGGCTGGATATAAACAATCTTCAGTTGCATTAAAGTATATATAGCAATCAGGCTGAAATTCCCATGAAAAACATTCAGGATCCTCATAACAAGCTCTACAACAAGTTTCAGGATCAGTTACATTGTCAATAAGTTTGTAATTTGATGAAACGGCCATTTCATAAGTTCTCCCATTTCCTCCTTCACTACAACAAGCATCCTCAGGGATAGAAGTAGGAGGAGTACAAGTTTTGTTTTCTTTATGAGGTTTTTTATCATAGAATGCTTTAACATTCAAGGTTGCTATAAAGAGAATAAGGATAAGAACATAGGCCGTTTTCAATTGACTACTCATGATGCGTATTGGGTGATAAACGATTGTGAAATTTGAAGTTTAGAAAATAAAATTGTAGCAAAGTATATAGAACTCAAATGATTTTATAATTATTTTTTATGTATTTAATATATAGTACACCTCCCTAAGTTCACTCCTTAGTAGCATAAAAAATACAAAGCTGCATTTAGAGGTGTGCGTTTATAGAGTA